TGCTCAACTACACCTGACGAGAGCTATTCTCTTGACAGTGATGAATATGGTCCCTATGTTGAGTTATGTTTTACATCAGAAATGTCAAAGGTAGTGTTGGATCAGACTCAACTTGCACAGCTCGACACCGATATGGTCGCAACGATGAGAGTATATGTATCCTCTGCTGCTAAACGCGCTGGGGTAGTCAAGGAAGACGACCTACTCACCAAAGCCGACATAGCAGCGCACCCAAAAGAGGTCAGTGAAGCTTTGTACATTGAACTCGAAATCTGGATTGATAACCGGTGCTTTGAGATGTATGATTTATCTAAAGCTTCCAACATTATGACATCCAGGTATGTATAAGTGGAATTTTGTGAAGGTAGGTACCGATAACGTTAAAACCATCCGTCTCAGACTTGTCCTTCGTGGATTTATGGATACTGAGGCTTTCGATGTGGAAACATTCTCGGGAACCGCCCGTAGGCTGTCCCAGAGACTCCTGGCGAGTGAAGCGGCATGCCATCCAGAGTGGATCTCAGCATCCATGGATATCGACAAAGCATTCCTCAAGGGTTTGACCTATGAGGAACTTGCCCATGCCACCGGCGAGGAAACTCGCATGGTTTGCTTCACCCTTCCACCAGGAAGTGCCCAGGTACTTCGTACACTACCCGGCTTTTCATCCTATGACGAAAGCCGACGCTGCCTCAGGTGCCTCAAGCCAGGAACGGGTACAAAGGACGCCCCAAGAGCGTTCTCTCTCAAACTTCGTGCGACCACACGAGCTATAGGCCTTACACCGACCAGTTATGATCCTGAATTTGAATTCAGCCAAGATTTGCTAACAGCAAAACATGTCGATGATATTAATATGACAGGCCTAGAGAAAAACATAGACGACTATGTACAACGTGTCGAAAAGGTGTTTGGCACATGCAAGCTTAACAAACACTCATATACGAATTGCGCCGTTCGCTACACCAAGAATGACCAAGGGGATGTGATCATGGATCAGGACGAGCATATCAAACAACTACGTCCGATCACACACCCAGAACTTACAGGAGCGGCGGCCGATGCCAAAGCCACGAAACTCATTACCGACATGTTCGTCAGCTTGCGAGGAGCCCTCGCCTATGCCCTTCTTACTCAAATGTGGCCCATGGTATACGTGGTCTCTCTCCAGAGAATCCAAGAGCCCGCCAACCTACAAGTCAGACGACTGAATGCTGTGACACGAAAGCTGATCAGCAGCCCGAAACGCATCACCTTCCCTCGGATGAAGCCGACGAGTGAAGTTGACATACACAGCGATTCGGGGTATCGGAAGCTCACCGGGGAGGAGGACGACGAGACCAAGGGCTACGGCATACGCGGGGCCAACGTACTACGGCGAGGAAACTCGCCTCAAGGCAAATCCGTCGTTCATCTCTGTGACGGACTATGCAAATCACACCGACTGCAGGTGAGGTCCAGCTATGCTGCGGAGGCACTCGCAGCTGCCCATAAACTCGATGAGTGTTACCCTACGCTCATCACTCTCCACGAGCTCAAGGCAGGAGCTCTGACTCCACGACAACTACGAGATATGCGTGAAGTTGGGGGTCTAGCCATTAAAGTATCTCTTACCATAGACGCTGAGTCGGTTTATAAATCGTTAGCAAGCAAGGATCTTAAGATACCGACAGAACGGACTCTGCTTGGACATATCAGTTGGATACGTGAGCTCATGGATATAGGTATAGTACATAACGTGCAGTGGTGTGATACTAGAGATATGACCGCAGATGGGCATACAAAGGGAAGCATCGATCGGGAGCTGCTTTTGGAAGTGACGTCAGGCACTCAGTCATTCAAGTATGATGTGAAGCAGTTTGTTCCCTTTCGGGGTCCCGAGGACAGAAACAAACCCAAGTCTAATCAATTTTAGTATGTCCTTGTTGCCCCCCCCCGCGGTCCAATTTGCCAGCATGGGCGCCTACTACAGAGGCGCCCTTCTAGTTGCTCGGAAACGAGCCTTGCATTTCACGCCTGGCAACGAGCCGGCTTTATATAATTCAGGCTCTTTGCCTTAATACTCGTTTGCTCGGTGAGGTATGGCCCGTTTGGCTTACCTCTAGCTGAGCCGATAGCCCTTCATCGTCCGAAGGGGCTATCTTGCATTTGCGTGAAATGTTTTGCGAGGAAACTTGCCTTACAGTCTGGTGTTAGGCCAGACTGTACACACTGTTTTCTTTCTTGCAAACAGTCGTGCGCGCGGCCTTTGTAGAGCCTAACGGCTTCGCGGCTACACTCTCCGTCTCCTCCCCTCCCGACTTTAAGGGTAGCTCTTTGGGAGATGTTATAGTATCGGGAGTATAGCTCGCGCGCCTTTGCCTTTGGCTCAAGGCACGCGCGCCCTATTTGCCCGGACACTTACTTTAGTGTTCGCTATGTGCTGGAAAGACCGATACATCGATCTTATCCTATCATACCCATCCACTCCCCATATCGTATTCCTTCGACATGGAATTGGATGCAATGTGAGCTCATCCGCCTCCCATGGAGACGGATGCTATTTGACCTGCCAGGCTCACTTTCGACTCGCCGCTGCCGAGGGGCCGCGAGGTGCGCAAGGACAGGTCTTTCCCCGCGTTGCGGGAGGACTCGGCCGTGAGGGAGCTCCGGCAGGTCTACTGTGACGACGCGGACTACGCCGAGCCCGCGCGGCAACGTTCGGAGCCGGAGGGCGGCTTCGCCGCGAGCGCGCGCGACCGCTGCGCCCAGCAAGACTTGCCGCATAGCGGGAAGAGTGGGGCGCGCGTGCCTTGCTGCCCGCGGCTGGGGGCCCTGGTCGACGGCAGAGACGGGCACGTGCGCGTCTCCCCTTCCAGGGCAGCCCTCTGTGCCCAGCTGACGGCCCATCTGCTAACGGAGGCTGTCAGCAGGAAGGAGGTCCAGGTGGTCGCTGGGCATGGGTGCCACCCGAGTTCCTTCAGGCGCGAGTGTGGCACGGTCTTTCGGAGGCTGCGGCGCACCATCGTCCACTGGGGCGGGGGCAAGAGGAGCCTGCTGCCGACGGACGTTTGCGCCGAGCTGGTCCTAGCTCCCAGCATGCCGCCGCTGCACGAGCGCGACCTCCGCTCGCCCGTGGAGAGCATGATCACCGCGAGCGACGCGTCGGAGAGGGGTGGCGGAGCTTGCTGGACGACGTGCCTCCGCCCAGAGTTTCGCGACTCGGCCTTGTCGGTCCTGGCGCAGGGCCGAGGGGCAAATAGGGGCGATATAGGCACCATCGAGCGGTTCGAGGGCATCGGCGTTGGGCGCATGGCCCTGGAACGACTTGTCGCTGAGGTCAGCCCCCACGCCTCCGCCGAAGTCTTCGAGCCCGCGAAGCGCGTGGCGCGGCAGTGATGACCCGACTGCGTCGAGCTGGGGGATGGTCGCTCCATCGCTGCCGAGTCGCTGCGTGACCTCCTGGCGCGATGGCCCCATTTGCGGGTGCTTTTCGTCCTCGGTGGGTCGCCCTGCCAAGGCGTCGCGCGGGTCAAAGTGACCGCGGGGGGCTGGGCCGAGGCGCGTACCCAGCTGGTCAGGCACATTCCCCGCGTCGCCGCGCTGGCGCGGGAGGCGTGCCCTGAGCTCGCGGCGCTGTCCCTTGCGGAGAACGTCGGCTCCGCGGGCGAGGACGACCGCCGCCGCTTCACCAGGCCGCTGGGTTCAGTGCCGATCGAGCTCCGCGCCAGCGGCTGCAGTCCGGTCAGGAGGCTGAGGTTGCACTGGCTCGACTTCGCTGGGCCTGCAGACTCCAGAGTTGAGCTAGGAGATTGAGGCCGGGGCGGCCCGAGGGGCGCTCCGAGGAGCACGGCCTACCTGGGCCGAGCGGCTCGAAGGCGGGGCGAGCCGTCCGCGGGGAGAGCATGGAGCTCGGGCGACTTTCATGCGCCCAATCCCTCGCGAGGAGCCACCGATTGCCCCCGCGGGCCTCGCGGGCACGGGGCCTGCCGCGCGGGCTCGCTGGGAGGCGGATCAGTATCGGTGCGCTCCGTGCCAGTACAAGCTCGGCAACATGGTCTATGATCGCCAGGGGTGCCTCCGCCCTCGGACGAGTTCGGAGATGGCCGCGCGGTTGGGCTTGCCAGCCAAGCACTGCCTGTGGGCCGTGCCCAAGTCCGCGGGGAACTCCAGACCGCGAGGCGGCGGACGCGCGGCGTGGTCTCTACGGCGACACCTTCTCGGCGCCCGCGGTGGCGACGTTGCTGGGCCGCGGCCTTCTGGCGGCAGGTGCGCGGGCGCGGCCGCCGACCATTGCCGAGTGCCGGGGGGCTCGCAACGTCGAGGCGGGCGAAAACCTCAGCCCGCTTCTGGGCAAGGCCCCCTCCGACGCGAATGCCGAGGAGGTGCGCGACGCCATGTGCGCGGGCATGGTCCGCTCTGCCATCTTCAAGAGCAGTGATGTGCGCATCGCGAGCGGGCGCGCCCACAACGCGGCTGGTTGCCCGCGCCGAGGGGTGGAAGCGCACATGTGGCAGTGCAAAGTGTGCGTCTCCTCTCCCCGGGGCGGGGGTCGACATATACATGCGTTTGAGATGCAAGCGCTGCTGACTACTTTTCGGTGGCGCCTGCGCACGACCTCCGCCCTGGGAGGCCGACTGATTCATTTTTGTGATTCGCAAATGTGAGGGCAGGTGCGCCTCTTCGCTGCTGCAACGGTTGCTCATGCGCTTGAGTGCGCTCCTGCTATCTACGTCGTGCCATCCTTTAACGTTTCTGTGAGGTCGGAACTCAATCCTGCCGACGCGCCAAGCAGATGGCGGTGACCATTCTGGCGACAGGCGCGAGACAGCAGAGACAACGCAACCGAGCAGCAGCAGGCACATTGCGATCACTTCAACTCCAGCTGCGCACGCTGAAGCGCAACGCTGGGGCCGCCGACTTTTTTTTTACTTGGTTCGACAGGCGCAATGGGCCGATGCCCCAGTCCGTCGCTGCCGCCGACGAGGTTCTGGGAGAGTTTTTGGAGGAGTGCTGGGCAGGCGGCGAAGCCGAGTCAATGGGCGGCGACGTCGTGTCCAGTTTGCAGCACTTCGTCCCGCGCTTGCGGCGAGCGCTCAATGACTCGCGTCGGCTTTTCTCAACTGGGTCGAAGAACGAGGTCCCCTCGAGGGACAGGCCGCTACTGCCTGAGCAGGCCTTGGCCATGGCAGGGTTTGCCCTGTCCGAGGGAGACCGCCATGGCGGCCGCCATCCTCGTGAGCTTCAGCGGCTTCCTTCGCCCAGTGGAAGCCATGCTGCAGGCGAGCCAGCTCACGTCGGACTTCGACCGCGGTTTGGTGCACATCAACTTCGGCTTCACCAAGGGCGGCAAGCGCGCTGGAGTTGCCGAGCACGTTGCCATAGACGAGCTCGAGGCTGCGGTACTCTTTGCTCGAGTGATGGGTAGCGAGCCAGGCGGGACCCAGCTTTCCCCCCGAGGAGAAGCAGGCTTTAGGACAAGATTCCGCCGCTTGGTGGGGCAAATCGGAGCCATTCCCGATCGCCATCGGTTCTGTAGCCTGCGCCGGGGAGGCGCCACGACCTGTGTGCGAGGCCGCTGGAGTCACCAGCCGACAGCGAGGATCTACATCGAGGATGGCGTGGCGATGCTGGAGCGAGGCCGCCTGTCGAGCCGACAGAAAACACTTGTGGCTAAAGGTAAGGCGCTGTTGCGCTGCCTGCTGCGAGCCCTCGGCCAGCCCGGCGCGTCCTCACATCGGCAATCTGGGGGGCATGGAGGGGCGCCCAGGGGATCGCGGCCGCGCAGTGCCGTCGTGGCCCCACTCTCCCCGCCCTCGGCGGAGGCCCCACCCCCTGCGCCCAAGCTGGGCAGGAGGGGGGTGGAGGCGGCTGCGGCCAGCAGGTGGCCGCGGGGCGACGGGCGCCCAGAGCACGGCCGCGCTCGCACCACAGGGCGCCCGCCGCCGCGGCGCGCAAACAAGAGCGCCGCGCGCGGCGCAGAGGAGGAGGAGGAGGAGGAGAAAGGAGCGAACACGATATATTTCCATCCGCCACAGCACAACATAGATTGCACGCAACAAAGATTGCACTACATAGATTGCGCCACATATATAGCCCCACGTATATGGCTCCACATCAATTGCACAACATATACTGCGCCTCATAGATCGCACCACCTCCAGTGCGCGACGACTGATGCACAACAGAGGTGACACAGTATATGTTTCGCCACCTACCTAGATTGCGCCACACGCCGTGCCATATACACATATATATATATAGAGAGAGAGAGAGAGAGAAAAAAAAAACAAAAAAACATATAGCTAGATGTGTGTATATATATATATATATATATATATGTATACACACACGTAGAGGTTGCTAGAGGCACGCTGCTTGGGGGCCCACGCTGGCTAACAGCCCTGCCCTTCCAGATATGCACGTCCTCCTGGCTCCGCCAGCTGGGCGTGAGCGCCGCGCCAGAGGCCGGGCCTTGCCTGGCCAGGGCCAGAGCTGGGGACCGCGGGCGCACGGCGCCCCTCCGTCGCATCCTTCATCCTTCCTCGTCCTCCCTCCCTCCCTCCCTCCCTCCTCCTCCCTCCTCCTCCTCCTCCTCGTTCTCATTCTCTCTCCTCCTCCTCCTCCTCCTCCTCCTCCTCCTCCTCCTCCTCCTCCTAATCCTCCTCCTCCTCTCCTCCTCCTCCTCCTCCTCCTCCTCCTCCTCCTCCTCCTCCTCCTCCTCCTCCTCCTCGTCCTGCTCCTCCTTCTCGTCCTCCTCATCCGCCTCCTCCCCCTCCTCCTCCACCGTCCCTCCTCATCCTCCGTCGCTCCTCATCATCCCTGAGGTGTTCGCCGTGTGACCCGTGCGGCACGGGGGGGCCGTCCGGCGCGCGAGCTATGCCGCCCAGCTGGGGAGTCGCGCAGTGAGGGGCCGATCAGCGGAAAGACAACGAGGGCTGCAGAAAAGAGGCCCCTGACTTGGCATCGCTCGGACGTGTGCATGTTTCTTTCGGCGAGGACCATCGAGGAGCATCCTGGATCATGTTGCGGAAAAAACAACGCACGAAACCGACAAAAAGCACAGGGAGTGGACGTCCGAGCGATGGCCAGTTGAGGCCCCAAAAGGGGGCCTTACAGGGCCCGCGACGTGCACCCTTCTTCCCCCCTCCGTTCGCCGCCCCTCCACTCGGCGACGCCCCTCCGGCGCCGCTCGGAAACGGGCAGCGCCTTGCGAACGAGGCCCTCGAGACCCTGAGGTCCTGGCGTGGCACTCGTCTTCGCGCCCGGCGTTTCGCTCCAGGTTCGGGCACCAGGGCCAGCGCAGATCGATCCGGCTCGAGACATGCCGCAAAGAGATCGGAGGTTGATAGAGCTCCTGCCCTGACACGTCGACTAGCGAATTGGCCGTTTTCGGTTCGCGAGAGGGCGTCGCGGCCGTCGTTTCTGCGGGTCCAGGTGCATCGGTTTCGGCCCCAGGCCGTTTTCACTAAAGGGTGGTTTACTAAAGGCAGGTTTGTTCACCGCCGAAAAGATGAGGTCTCAGGCTCCGGTCGCGATTTCTCGTGATGTTGCAACTATTTGGCAACGTCGGATCTCAGAGGAGAGCCCGCTGGCAGCTTCGACTTGCGAGCGAGAGGCGAGAGGCATGCAGCGGATACGCGGCACGCACGGCAGGGGCGTGGCGCGCATCAGGCGACGCGCACGGCTCGGCACGCACGACCGGCACGCGCACACTGACCGGCACGCGCGGCAAGGGCGTGGCGCGCACTAAACGGCACGCCGTGGGACGCGCACGGCGTAGCACCCGTGGAATGGCACGCGCGAAATGCAAGTCACGTGTGGCGCAGCACGCATGGCACAGCATGCGCGGCACTCATGGCATGGTATGGCTACACAGACGGGGCCCATGGCACGCACGGCGCGGAATGCAGGACACGCACGGCACCCATGGCACGGTATTGTTTCACTGTGCGACGCGCGCGACGTGCAAGCAAAACATTGCACGCAAGGCAGGGCATGCATGGCACAGCCTTCCGTTGAAGCGCAGCGCGAACGGGACAGCACAGATACGCGACACGGCACGTCACAGCACGAACGACACAATTCGGTACGTACGCCGTCAAAGTTTAAATCTGCAAGCTCGCATCGCTGATGTCCCCCTTGCTCACCCAGCGACGTAATCGAGCACGACTGAAACAGCGTTTGTTGTCCCCGACGGTACACGACAGCGATTAACACGAGCTCTTGGAGCCCTCGAAAATCTGCAAAAGCTCTGATGCGGCCACTGCTCCGCAGACTTGCTCGCCTGAGTGTCTACGCGCTGGTTGCGCGGGTGCATTACACCCCGTTGCAGGTCGGTGCAAGTTTGGGCATGGAAATGTACTGGAGGCGCGAGAGGCAAACTGTCGCTATACAGCGTGAGAAATAGTCTTGACGCCTCGCTTGTCCCCACCAGCCCATCCAGAAACGGTGCCCATGAGAGCTGACGAGGGGAGAGAGGACGAGACACGCATAGTCAAACAGCGAGGGAGGCTTGGAAGGCTCCGTGGCCATCTCGAGCCGTCTTGGAGCGGTCTTGGGGCTGCTTGGAGCATCTTCGGAGATATCTTGAGCCAGCTTGGGCTATCTGAGCCATCTTGGAGGTCATCTTGGGCTCTCTGAGGCTGCTCGGGGGCCTCTTTGGTGCCTCTCGGGTGCCTCTTGGAGCCCTCTTGGGGCCTCTTGGGGCGCTCGAGGAGCCGGGCCTCTTGGGAGCCCTGGAGGGCCTCGTGGGGCCATCTTGGAGGCGGTCGGTCAAAAGAGGCGGGGGTACTCGATTTCCCTCCCCCCCTCGGAGACCACGATCCTCGTGAGGGGTGTCAAACATTGCCCTCCCAGGGGCCGAAAAAGGAGCCTCCGACAACTCGCGACCCCTCCCAAGAAACCTCAGGGAAGAGGGGCTGTGGAAAAGGAAAGAGGGCCTCATTAGACCACCTGTCGCTCAAAGGGCTGCTGGGATGTATCATGTGCCACGTCAAGCACTGGCACATACTAGTATGGCACGGCACGCCTGGTATAGCACGCAAGGCAAGGCGCGAATGGCGCACAGCACTGCGTGGCGCATGGCATTGCGTGCACAGCGTGGCAAGTACGGCACGGCACAGATATGGCACCGCACGAGTGGCGTGTAGCGGCAAGCCGCGCGCCGCACGGCATCCATGGGGCGGCACGGTGCGGCGCGCCACGGCACACCACGGGACGGCACGGCGTGAAAGCCACGGCATGTTCGGCACGGCGTGGCACGGCACGCGTGCCCAGCACGGTGGTCGGACTCCCGCGTGCGCGGACGGAGCCGCGCGCACAAGGCCACGTGTACGGCACAGCGCACATGGCTGCACAATCGCGCGGCACCACACGCTCATGGCACAGGCACAGTCTCGTGCGCACGGCACCACACATGCGGCGCCACGCGCAGCACCGGCGTTTCGGCCATACGAGGAGCAGTGTTTTGTTGTGTGCAGGAGTTGCTTGAGGAACTCCTAGCCCAACTCAATTCACCGATGACGCTCACGTGCCGCAAAATATAGGCTTGGGGGAAGACTTGCACATAGGAAAGAGAGGATCCTTGTGACCAAACCAGTTTCCCAAACCTCAGACGAGGAGAAGCACCCGTTTCACCGAGCAAGCTTTCCCGATGCAAGATTACGCGAAGGTTTGAGTGTGTGTGTGTGTTGTGTTTGTGTGTGTGCGTGTGTGTCCAGCTGCTCGGATTTTCGTAGCCCGTCGGGCTCTCAAGGTTGCTCGCCTTGCGAGGTGTCCCCGCGCACGCGCGCCGATGCGGCATGGCCTCGCCGTCACGTCACGAGCCCGCCGCCGGCTCAGACCCCTGTGAGCTGTGGCTGGGAGGCCTGCCGAGAGTGAGCGGAGAGGAGCTGGCCGAGCTGGAATCCTGCCTCCTCCGCGCGCTGCGCTCCGAGTGCGGCGCCGATGGCGCCCGCGACGGGCAGGCCGACGTGCAGCTGCGGCTGCACACCAGGAGCTCCGGCGCCGGCCTCGGCTTCGCCTTCGCCTGGCTGCCCTCGCGGGCGGCCGCCGCGCGCCTCGCGCAGGCGGGGCAGCTGGCCTACGGGCTGCGAGGGGCCGAGCAGGCCGCGCGGGTGCGCGCGGCGCGTGGCCACCCGGGGGCCCGCGCAGCTCCGGCGACCAGCGTGGCCGGCTCCCTCGGCCTGGCGGTGGCGGTCTGCGCCACCTTCGACTGCGCCGCGGTGCAGGGGCCCGCGGCGGCCTGGAGGGCGCTGCTGGCCGGCGCGGGCGTGGCCCTCGACCTGAGGGTCGTGCCCTCGGGCCGTTCTCGTGCGGGCCTGCCCAGGCTGGGCCAGTGCGACGTGGGCGTGGTGCTGTGGCGCCGGCAGGACCTGGAGCCTGGGGGGGAGGCGCGGCTGGCCAACGAGGTGCTCCGGCTCGCCGAGGCCAGCTCGGCGCTCCTGGTTGTGGAGGGCAGGCCTAGCCCAGACGAGAGCGCTTCCCCGAGCGCAGCGCACAGCACCGCCGACTTCCTCGCACGCCGCCTGGCGGATGCACCCGGCGTGGACGTTGTGCCTTGGGCTCGCACGTGCCAGCTCTACCCCTGTGCGGCGAAGTGCGCTGCCGGGGAGTGCGCAGCGATGTGTGCATTGGCCGTCCGTCGCGCCGTGGGCGTGCACCTGGGGAAGGCGATCAAGGTCTTCGTGTGTGACTGCGACCACACCCTCTGGGACGGAGCGGTGTCCGAAGACGGCGTCCACGGCATCCGAGTGGGCGGCCTGCACCAGCAGCTCCAGGAGCGCATGTCCCGGCTCCAGCGCGCGGGTCGCCTGGTGTGCCTGGCCTCAAGGAACGACGAAGCCGACGTGCTTCTGGCGTTCGACGAGCGCGCCAGCGAGATGGCCCTGTGCCGCCCTCAGCTGGCCGCGTGGCGCATCAATTGGGGGCCGAAGACGGAGAGCCTGCACGAGCTCGCGGACGAGCTGCAGCTCAGCATGGACTCGTTCGCCTTCGTGGACGACAACCCCTCGGAGGTGGAGGCTGTGCGCCACGGCCTCCCAGAAGTGTGGGCGATGCGGGCTCCCAGCCACGATGACGCCGCATTCGCCCGATTCCTGAGCCACCACTGGGCTCTCGACACATCAGCGACGGAAGAGAGCGGGTTCGGCTGCGCAGACACTCGCGCGCAAGCTGCTCCCTCAGGATCGCGCGCAGGCGCCCGCGTTTCCCCTGGCGCGTGCCGTACCGGCGGCCCGCGGAAGCCACCGCGCGAGGTGGCCGTGCCGACGAAGAACGGCGTAACATAAATGTTTCCGCCGCCTGGGACGCCTGCCCCACGGCGGCTGGAAAGTGTCCACCCCGACGTGGCACCATGAGGGTACAAACCTTCCAGCCTCCCTGGGGCAGGCGCCACAGGCGGCGGCACAGTTTATTCAACGGGCGAAGAACGGTATAAAATGAATTGTTTCGCTGTCGGGGGCGCCTGCCCCACGGCGGCTGGAAAGTGTCTACCCCGACGTGACACATTGAGGGTACAAACCTTCCAGCCTCCCTAGGGCAGGCGCCCCAGGCGGCGGCACAGTTTATACAACGGGCGAAGAGCGGTACAAAATAAACTGTTTCGCTGTCGGGGGCGCCTGCCCCAGGGCGGCTGGAAAGTTTTGTACCCTTACGGTGGCGCGTCAAGGTATGAACCTTCCAGCCGCCCTGGGGCAGCGCCCCTGGCGACGGAACAATGTATGTTGCACCGCTCTTCGCCCGCGAATTCGTGTGATGCCGTTCTTCGCCTGCCACGCGGGATCCCTCCCTCCCCGTCCCTCGCATGGGAGGGCGCCCCCGTCACCGCGGAGGATGCCCGGCGCACGCAGATGTACCAGGAGAGCGCCGCGCGGGGCGCGGCGCGGCGGCAGGCCGCCTCCTACGGGGCCTTCCTGGCCTCGCTGAGCACGCGGCTCGAGCT